GCTCTAGTTGAGCTGGCAGTTCAATTTGATTGATACCCAGGGTATCATCGTCGTTTAGGAGTTCAAATGCCCAGAGTAAGATTAGAACACGTGATATTTGAGCTGAAGCCCAGTACAACAAGTCAGCAACTTTGACCGTAGTTGGAAATAATTGCGATATGTCAGGTATCACGAACATATATTGGAAAAATAGAGAACACTATAGAAACATTATTAACTCAATCGGTATTTTGTTTTGTGTTAGTTGCTAGTCATGAGGCTGTCTTTTGCATAATTATCATTGCTACGACCCTGACAACGATTTTTCGCTGTTGAATTGTATGATTGGACATTGTTTAATAATATTGAACTCAGACAGTAGTATTATTAGCTTTGTATCGCTAAACGGAACTTAAAACCCACCTGGTGCTTCGCGATCAATCACAATGCTCGATTGCATGTTTTTGTTTACACTAAATGTCCTGTTTTTAAGTCTGGCTAGTTTTCTCGCGCCAAATATCCCTGTTCGCAACGTTTTTCTTAAGATTTTATGCCATACATATCTTATATACGACTGTTATAATTCCTTTGTTCTGAAAGTTGTTTTTTCTTGGAAGTTTTTTTGCAAACCGAGTTTTGTTGTCATGAGAACAAACCACAATTGAACTCGGCTGGGGTGGGGCACACAGCGGTCGATCTGATATACATATTGCGCAATTATTAAGGTATCTAGAACACGATGCCCGTCATTGAGCTATATGCTATTTCGAGTTAAATTCATATTCAAAAATACTAATCGGATCTTGTATGTAAATGTTATAACAATGATGGCAAATTCCCAATGCTCAACAAACCGAAAGATTTGCATTACACATTGCGTAATAAAATATATAGCGTATGATATAAAATTAGGGCAAGTTCCCTGATGTGAATTTATCTCGGCTACGAGGTTTTTTTATTTTTTCTCGTACCGGTCTTTATCCTATACATCTATACCAATCGGACATGATATTGATCGTGGTGGCGCTGTACGAGAAGCGAATGGACGCGCATCGGTTTTCGTAGTACGAGGTTCGGACAAGACAGCGGGGGTGAGTGGACTAAACGTGAGACACTTCACTGATGGTCGCTGTTATCTATAACATACAATATACGAACTTAAAATATTACTCATTTAAAAATTGACTCCACGGGAGATACATTAGTATATTGTTTTTGGCAGTTTATAGATTAGAACTTATGATACCTTTATTATGTTTGATCGGGGGATTTTTGGGGACAGATTGGGGGAATTCCCGGGTTTGTCATTATCCCTTGAAGGACCACACCAACTCATTTTATTAAGGTTATCATTCATTGACCCCCCAAATGACACATATGGATGGCTTAGGGACTGGACAGAAATTACGGGGGGCTGATGTTTTTTGAATGTATACACGAAAAAGAAATGCCCCCCTCCCTACTAGGTGCATACAAATACCTGACCCTACAATTATCATGCACAACAAATAGTGACCCTCCCTATACGCATAGACATTGTTTTGTTAAAAGGGAAAGTTTTTACTCGGATTTATCTTGATGTAAATATGCCTAACAGATTACAATTATAATCGAAAACAAAAAGACTGCCACTCCCATGCAAATAAGTGCAATTCCCGTGATTAAAATATTCCCCTTTAAACATGCTATAATTAAAAATTATTTCATCATGGATGATTAAGGCATAATGGAATAAGCAAAAAAAAAAAAAAAACAGCAGCTGCTGGCAGTATACAGTTAATAGAATTTAACAAAGAAAGTTATCTCTAGAAACTATACTTGAGTATAAGAATGACCAAATTAAGGCAAGCTCTGAGTATCTGTACACAAACACGGGGAAAATAAAATCAGACAGTGAATGTGCAATGAAATATAATACTGACTTTTCAACTAACATTGATTGCATAAATACAGAGGTACAGAAATTACTGGGCACTTTCAGAAAAAAAAATGGAAAAAAAATATGTTTGAAACTGTTAAAATATATATATATGAGAGACAAGAATAAAAAACGTAAAATCAAGCAAAATAAACGTCTTGCAAAAAACGAAGAAAAAACAGAATGAGTGCTAGAAGTGATAGCACCACGATGCAGATACCACCACGAGTGAAGATGATTTGTATTTTGAAGGGGTGAATACTGTTAAAAAAACAAGATGTTAAATACATTAAACAGCTCAAGAAACAAAGCAAACTTAGAAATGGTGCTTATCGTAAAATTAAATATCTTGCCCAAGTATTTGATGAAGATAGTGATACGGAGGAGGATACTAAGGGAAGTGGTATGGAGAAACAGTCAATATATAGAAGGCGATACTGAAAACAGTAACCTAGAGAAAGAGGTGGTTCTGATTAACAATAACTTTATTGACTCTAACTCAATCCCCAGGGGGAAAGCAAATGGTCACAAGAATACACAATCACTAAAATGCTAACAAAGAATTAAATATAAAATATATGACTAAAATGCAAAACAAAATTAAAGCAGTGGTTGCTGAGGCGTAATTTACATTGTTTTTCTTTTGATTTTGCTATACCACTTACTGTTTTCATAGGTTTCAACACCGTTTATTTTATTAATGTGTTTGTTGAGTTCATGACTGTTATAGAGTTGTTTTATTAAAGCGACAATACCTACATACATTTTTGTTTTATTAAAATTAGTAAATTTACACAATGTTTTTATTACATTTTTTGTATATTATAATCATTATATTTAATGCACAGAAAACAGTGATCTTGCTTTTATGTGTGCACAAAATAAAGTTACCCCTCAATCGCTTACATGAAAAATATGCACCCTCCCCTTAACCCCCCCATAAATCCTGTACAAGACTTTGCTGTAGGCATGTTTGACATCTTGCATTGAGCAACAGTACATTGGGGACGTGGCTGAAGTTTGTTACACTAAGTAAAAATGACTAACATTTGCAGATGTAAACAATATTCCAACTATTTGTATTAACTGACATCAATAACTACTACAATATATACATGCGGTATTGTACATTTCAAGGTATTTCGTTGGCAAGCTGTTTACAACTGGACAACATAAACAATTTCCCGTCTAATCTCTCGTTTGCCCTCCCAGTCTACCGTATCTGGTTTTCGCCAGCTCCGTGTGTCAAATTCCTCTTGACATCGACAACACCAGCTTAGATGCACTTATCCCCGTGAACGTTTCATCAGAATGGCGTGTTTTAAATTTAAGTAATAATTTGAAATAACAGTGTCACATTGTTTTTAATTGCATTAAATAATTAACTAAATGTTGGCAATCAACTGGAAATTTATGCTGACCTCATTGGGTTACTGTGTTACTGACACTGCCCTACATCGCCAAATGTGTATGATTAATGGACGGTGGTCGTCGTGTCGCTTCGAGTTCGATAGGGTACTCATGGCGACGCACACAACGCATGTAAAACACACTGTTTACATAAAATTCCCGTATCGAATATATCCCTTTAATCACGCAGATGCACCAGGTGACAGTGAATTTGCATTGGCTGAGGACAATGCAATGTTTATCAATTTCTGTTTTGATATTTGACTGCATTGGTGTTTTAAAAGTAACGAAAAGAAAAACAGTTAAACAACTATTTCAAGTGAAAAATTCCAAATTGCCCCCAACTTCAGTATGCAAGACAAATATGCTAATCCCCTAGACCACATGGTCTACTCTACTTTCAATGGGGCAAATGCTGATGATGTTGATTGTTTCTCAGTGACACGCATTACAGACCAGAAATACTAACCCCACTAATTGAAATTTGGCTCACAATGTAAAACTTGTGATGCTATTGACATTGAAAGTGCGGTACTAATGTGTAACTTTGCCAGATTATGACTTGCAAATTCTCATGCAAATGTAATGACTGGAGATGAAGTCGTCGCATATATATTGTGTTTTCGTCAGTAAGTATATGGTATGAGCCTACATTGACTTATAATACAGGGAGTGAATATGGGATTACATTCTGGCACTTCCTATTTTGAGGCGATATTAACCAATGCGCAGTTCCTATTCATGTTTCTATTGACCACATGGGTCAAAACAAAACGAACACTTCTACATGTTGCATTAATCAACACGAAACAGTAATGAGAATTACAACTTTTACGTTTTTGTTTTTCGATAAAGTACATCAGGACGAATCAGGTTGGCCCGACCCAAACAAAACCCTTCTGTGGGTTAACTGTTTTATTGTATGAGTGTGCCTTACTTGAATTGACTACCGCAATTTTCTTGTGAGGGCAGCGAAGATAATTCGACTGTTCATCTCGCTTGTCAAATAAAGACAGATTATTTAAAAAAGACAATATACAGGAATGCATTGAGTCGTATATTTACATGTATGTTATAAATATAATAATGTACAAACAAACAATACGTAAAAAACAAAATGGCAACCTCTTACTGTAGTCAAAACGTTGAATATTGCAATAACACCAAATGAATTCAGCGATCTGTAACACTATCATTTACAATTACAGTAACATTTCATATTCACATACCGTTGAGTATTAAGTTAAGCACATTGTTCACAAAATCACTACTACTCAAAAAACTGTTCAACAATTTCAAGAAAACACAATAAAAATATCAGTTAGAGAAAATCTATGTTCTTAGAATATACGCAACATATCTGTTAGATAAAAAACACGCAATATTGTGTGTAATTTCAGACAGTAAATTAGCGTTTAAGGAATTGTGATCATTGAACAATTAGGGTTTTCATGAAATATCCGAATATCATAACAAAAATGATCTTATAGAGTAAAATAACAAAATGTTCATATAAATACATAGATACAATTCAATAGAACATAATATCAAATTTATTGCTCCGATTTGCATGCGCATATCTTAAAGAAACAAACTAACTCCCGATTTTTTGCAAATTGGATATTATGCTGATAGGTGGTAGTATAAACTAAATTTGGGATTCAAGACTCTGCATCTGCACCACGTTACGTACAGTTTTCCGGGTCTTCTTTTTCCCACATAATGGTCGTTATGGCTATGATACAAACTACAAGAACAACGAGCACTAATAGTGTGATTAATGTAATACTTATCTCTGACTACGACACATGTGGCCGAGTGATACCCATGACTGCAGTATATACGACTGTGATATCTAAGGCTGAGATATCCATGACGGCGATATCTATGGCTGAGATATCCATGTCTGCGATATCTATGACTGAGGTATCCATGTCTGCGATATCTATGGCTGAGGTATCCATGACTGCAATATCTATAGCTGAGATATCCGTGACTGCAATATATATGGCTGAGATATCTATGTCTGCGATATCTATGACTGTGATATCCATGACTGCAATATCTATAGCTGAGATATCCATGTCTGTAATATCTATGACTGAGATATCCATGACGGCGATATCTATGGCTGAGATATCCACGACGGCGATATCTATGGCTGAGATATCCATGACGGCGATATCTATGGCTGAGATATCCATGTCTGCGATATCTATGTCTGCGATATCCATGTCTGCGATATCCATGTCTGCGATATCCATGTCTGCGATATCCATGTCTGCAATATCTATAGCTGAGATATCCATGTCTGCGATATCTATGTCTGCGATATCCATGTCTGCAATATCTATAGCCGAGATATCCATGTCTGCGGTATATATGGCTAAGATATATATGTCTGAGATGTATATGTCTGATATGTATATGACTGGGATATCCATGACTGCGATATATATGACTGCGATATCCATGACTGCGATATCTATGTCTGCGATATCCATGTCTGCGATATCCATGTCTGCGATATCCATGTCTGCGATATCCATGTCTGCGATATCCATGTCTGCGACATCCATGTCTGCGATATCGCAATATCTATAGCTGAGATATCCATGTCTGCGATATCTATGTCTGCGAAATATCTATGTCTGCGATATCCATGTCTGCAATATCTATAGC